CCAGTTCAGCTCCATTTTTACTGGTGGGGCATAGTGCATTTTGAGCCCCTAATGATTAGTGTCACTCTGGAGCCAGCGTCTAGTAATTCTCCAAAGATCTGGCTATTTCCTTTTTCATAATGCCCACTCTAGTAACAGCTGCAGGATACATAGTGGAAAGTATAGAGGAAGATTTATGGTACATACTCATGTAAATACATCAAGATTCAGTCTAAGATTACCTAGACTCCCCTTGAATCAAGAGGCTGTTTGTGAATTGATTTTTGTCTAGTAGTGAGTGAGAGGTTTTAATTCTCCTGTGGCAAGTCAAGTCAGGATTCTGGGTACCCAATCTAGAGGGTTTTTTTCTGTTATATAGCTCAAACAACATTCTAGTAGACTATTTCATTCCTACGGATATTATGGTCAATTATCTATAGCCAAAAATCCTTGAAAGCAAAGGCGTTCTGATTACTGATACATGTTACCTTTTACAATAAATGCGCCCACCTCATTTTTGATGTCAAAGTGCTACTACCTGGCCTCTAATAATCTGGAATCTTATTACCTCCATTTAAACCAGGGAGCTCACCTCAAAAGCAGTATCACCCATAGCTACACCCAACCTAAACAGAGAGCAATCACAAGCCTTTACAAGAATTTAAGAGTTCTTCCCACTAACATAGTCCTCAATGCCTTATTAAGGTAGTGCCTTCTAGGCCTTTTAATGGAATATATTCGGGGGATATGCATGCAGGTCATACTCTGTAAATCCACTCTAACATTCTTATCTCTCAAAGCTTTGGATCCCCTTTTTCATATTATGAAAGAAAACATCTGGCATCCCAAGACTTAAATGTAAGTCACTTTTGAGTCCACGTTATCAGTCAACCAACCAAGTAAACTATGAAGAGTCACCTCTAGCTCTCCAACCTAAGGCATTACATCTGGAATCTCTAGCAAGTGCACCTTTATCAGTGAATTCTGCCTAATCTAGTGTTGTATTTTTCCCTCCTTAATCTGACACACCTAAATTCTCTACCCCATACATTTCCAAGGTATGCTGATTATACATTAGCAGAGTCTTTCAATTCTTTTGGTGTGTAAACAATTTCCTCAGAGGCCATAATGTCTACCTGCCCCCTGGAACATGAAAAGATTTTTACCCTAGCTATTTATCTAGTGAACACAGTGAGTAGTTTCTTTTTCTTTTTTTTTTTCTTCTTTTTTTTTTTGTTTATTTATTTATTTGACAGAGAGAGAGGCATCACAAGCAGACAGAGAGGCAGGCTGAGACAGAGAGGGAAGCAGGCTCCCTGCTGAGCAGAGAGCCTGATGCCAGGCTCCATCCCAGGACCTTGAGACCATGACCTGAGCCGACACAGTGAGTAGTTTCAATGGGTCTTGAAAAACATGAGCATTCCCCTCTTAAGGCACCTACCTCAGATGGATTAATCACAAAAATTTTAAGCACAGGAAGGCTAATTTCCTGACACAAGAGGACACACTACTTCTGGTGGCAAAAGAGGTTCAGAGTGAGTTGGGGGGTTCAAGATTGTCAGTTTCATGTGGCTCCAACCACGTACCTCCACTCTAAATTTCAGTATCTCATTCTTTCCTAAACAGTACCCTAACTTTCACAGGATAAACTCTGCAAGATCGAATCCTACAGATGTAGTCATTTAGCAACCTGCACAATTAAAATGAGATTTTCTTGAAAATCTCAGACTCTTTATACCAGAGCAAGAAAGGAATGAGTGCTGAAATATGTTCCTGAATAAAAGAGGGGCTTGTCACCATAGGTAATATTAAGTACTTACCATGTGTCAAGTCACTGTGTTACATGACTGATAACACACCATCTGGTGTCATGCACTGCTTACCTCCTCTCACTGCACTCACAATTAAACCCTAAAACTCTACCAGGAGCCTTTTAAGTCCTGAATGATCCTGCCTCCTGCCTGTTTCTCTGATGACTCAAGTTTGTTCAGAAAGTTTCAGCCACATATACCTCCTCAATCTTTTCAGCCTACATGTCCCCTCTTCCAAGCTACCAAAGGACACTAGTACCCCCCCCCCCCTTAATCTTCCCCCCACCCCGACCCCGGAGACAGTGCTCTTCTTCTACCATTTGCCACCATATTGTTTTATTTATCGTGTTCTTCTCTTGTGTACTGCATGTGTATTATTTAACTTACCATGTTTATTTACTGTGCGCTTAGTATTATTACTCCAGGAAACTGTAACCTCCCCTTGGGCTCCAGAAGCATTTGCAGGATTCTCACAGCTCTCTAAGGTTAGTCTACCTTATTTCTGCCTGCTTTTCCAACAGACAGAATGAAGTTTGAAGGGGTCATAGGCACCCCTCCAGGTCACGCAGAGCCAAGTAGGGCCTGAGTCTGTGGGTCTCCCGAAAGCGGGGCTGGCCGCCACCCCAGGCGGCCCCATATTCTGTGGTGAAGCTCAGCACAGTTCCCTTCCGCCCTCCAACACCAGAAGCAGTCTTCCCTCCAAGGAAATGGACAGCTTCATCATTACCATCACAAAACTGGCCGACGTTAACTCCTTCCCGCCTGGAGGCCGCCACGTCCCCACGCAGCCACCGCCCCGCAGCCCGGTCGCGCTCCCCTCTGCGCAGGCGCACGCGCACGCCGCTCGCTTCCGCTTGGGGCGGGGCTAGCGCGCGGGGGCAGCCCGGCAGCGGCTGCGGATGTCCGCGCCCCGGACCCGTCCGCATGGAGTCGGGGGTGCGCCGCGGCCTGGCTACCGCGCGGGGACTGGCCTCGGCGACCCCGATGCCAAGGCACGAATTGGGGGCCGGGGCTGAGGCGCGGGCTCACGGCCCCGGTGCCGTCGGAGCCCGCCGCTTCCTGCTCTGTCTTTACCTGGTGGGCTTCTTGGTGAGTGCCGGGGCTGGGAGCGAAGGGCGACTGCGTCCTGGACCTGGAACCCGATTGGGTGTGGCTTTTTTCTTGAAGCCCGAGTGGTCGTAAGTCTCAGCGAGGGCTGGGAAACTGCGATCTGCCTGGTGGTGCCTCCTTACCTTTCAAGCCTCTTTTTGCCCCCAAACCTCTTTCACTCTGCTCCAAGTCACATTGCTCCCTTGCGGGGCCCAGCCCGCGGCTCCTCTGCCCCTCCTGCGGTTTAAGGCGCCCCCAGCACCAGCGTCTAGTGTGATTGAGCCGGGCTCAAGGGTGACCCCAGTTGTTAGGTGCTGTGGAAGGTACAGAGCACGCAGAGTGGATAGCTGGGCTCCTGAATAAGTTTGAGGGCTGTAGATGTGGTAGGAATACACAGGCATTTTTGCCAGGCCCGGTCAGCGAAGTCACTGTTGACGACCTCACTTGGGCAGAATTAGACACATTTTCATTAGGGCTCCTGATAGACTGGAATATTTAAAAATGCAAACCATAGTGAATTATACCCATTTCTGCCTTTCAACAAACTGTTTATTGGGCTAAGCAGATTTGTTTTTTTTTTTTTTTCTTCATGATGTGTGTGTGTGTCCTGGTTTAATAAAGACAATTAATTATGAATTTCCCACTTAGAATGGAAAGCTTAGAAAGATGAGTGTATGATAGGAGAAGTCATCCATACATCCATCCATTTATTATTCATAGAATTTCTGAAAACATTTTATGTTGCTAGGGCTGTAGAGCTCCAGTCCCTGTAATACACAGTCCCTGCCAAGAAGAACTTAAAATCTTACCAGAACGCTGTGTTGGTAGTTCGTGGGCCATTATCTGCAGGAACCCTAGATCCAAGTCCTCACTCTTCTCCTTCCAAGACTAGACCTGGTTCAGTTGCCCTGGTTGTGAGCTGGTCCAGGTTAGGAGAGAACTGGGACAAGGACTCAGTAGGATTTCCTCTTTGCTGAGACTGAGACTATCTTGAGGACAAAAGGAACTGGTCAGGTTAAGTGTCACTGGGCAAAGACTGCCTTTGGGGGCCTTGAATAGTCTGCAAAGGCACTAGGTCATGGCAAAGAGAAATTACTATTTTCTGCCCAGACGCCGGTTAGGATCACTACTCTCCAGTATATTAGCCTCACAAGAGTTTGGGTACTAAACCATCAGTCTGTAACCATCCTTCTGTAAAGGTTTAATGTTGACTTAATAGTTGTTAAGACAATGATGAAAGCATTTTCCAACTGTAAACACCGCACCGTGAGGCATTCAGGGGGGCTCCGGTTAACCTTGCTTCGCTTCGCCCCCAGGGTTAATGCTTCAGGTCAGAGCCTGGCATTCCTTAATCTTAGTTCAGTCTCAGGGTGCATGCAGATGCCTCTTCCATGTTCTATTCCAGCCATCCACAATTCAAAACTATTGATGGTGAGTCGTCCTTGACATTTCCGAAGGGAGTTGGCTGCCCTCCACCCTCTGGTAGAAGCTGGGGACTGTCCATCGGCTACTGCCTCCCTCCCTCAGACAGTATTACTGTCTGATTCTGCCAGATGAGAAGAATTTGAACCCTCACCTGGAAAGTCCAGATTGGGACTTCAGAGAAACCAACATGACCTAAAATTCAAAATAGTTTGAATGTTTTAAATGAATCCACAGGCCATTCATTATAGTTGGCCTTCCAGTACAGATTAGAACATTCAGAACGTCTCCTGTGTTGTGTTGAACTGTGCACACAGCAAGTCTAATTTAGCAAGCCTGATGTAAAATTGTAATAATTTGTTCAAGAGAGTTATTAGGTCTCTAATATGTTCAGGGTAAAATGTAAGATTTCCCAAAAGTTAAAAGAGAGTAGGGATTTTTTAAAAATGGGAAATGTAAGCAATTAAAATATGTGCAGCTTTGGATATCCTTGTAGGATCTAATGGCTTTTTGTTAGGTAACATCTAAGGAATATTATACATAACTTAGTTATTACTTTTATTATATATAGAGAGAGATGTAAAGACCCCCTAAGACTTTTGGGAAAATGGTTTCAGATTAATAAGAGAGGAAGGGAACAGGATTAAAGAAGTCATTTGCCAAAATGTTCTGTTTTTAGTTCTCATCTGGGCTTCCAGGTTTTAATTTGTTTAAGAAGAACAAATTAAGAAGGAAGATGAAGATGGCCCTCTAGGCCCCTTTTGGTTAGCATTGTAAGATGGTGCTAAGACCTATGATTTCAATCCCTTCTTTCCTCCAGATACAGAGATTCATATTTTATTTCATCAGCTGTAGTGAGGTCTCATTCATTGTTACTGAGGCAGTTTGTTGATCAAGAAATATTTAGGTTCCTACCCTGAAAAAGATCCTGAAACTTTTTAGTATGTTCATCAGTTTTTGTTGAGAGATGTAGATGTTCCATGAAAGGTTTAAGTGTCCCCTCTCGCCTGATTTCCTTATAAACAGTTACAAGCACATGACCAGTTGCCACATTCAAAATACATTCAAAGCCGGTGGTTTTGAAGAAACTGCAGATTCACAGCAAGAGAGGAGTTGCCTTTTCTGGTAAGGGGAAGATGATTTTAGAGCACAACTTCCTGAAAGACAATTCTAGAACACCAGCATCCATGGAAATAGCTAATACTTATCAGGCTCACAAAGCATTAAAATAATACTGATCATCAGTTATTACTTACGAGTCTGTTTTCTTATTACCTACCGTAAATCGCAGCCTACTTAATTATTTATCTCCCATCCTTTACTTGAATGTTAAATAACAAGTTGTACTGGGAATTTTTTGGAAAAGAAATCTTTTTGGACAATTGAGTTTCCTTTTCTGAAAGATGCAGAAAATTCAGTAGGTAGCTGATGTATTGGGGGTCTTTTAAGTGATATCGTACATCAGTAGGCTGATGAAAGAAGGCTGAGAGCCCAAAAGATTTCAGTAATCTTAAAATCAAAATAAGCTGTAGTTGAGGTAGTATAAATTTATGAACTACTTGAGAACACTAGATAGTAAGTATATGGCCATCTAAAGATGTAACCATGGAAAAGAGACACTGAAAAGTACATTTAGAGGTTCCTGTTTCTAAAATTACGTGAATGCACAGCCACCAGGAGAAGGGACAAGCAAAAGATTAACTGTGGGCCCAAAGAAAAAATATTTTTCATGCATTTCTTTCTATTTAAACCAGATTGATTATAAGGAAAGGAATTCTAGTTGAATATAAAGAAACCCATGTGTGTGCAATGTGGTTTCCTTCTTCTACTCCAGTTGTTGCAAGTATCCAAGTGAAGTAGGGATGAGAACAAAACTTAAAGGAAAAATTAACAATCCTTCTGTTAACTCAGAATACCTTGCAAAAAGGATCAGTACTTATCCCCAGGACTGAAGAAAAGCGAAAATATATTTGAACTGCTCTTGTGTGTTAGATCTGTCTCAATCATTACATCTTTTAATGGACTTCATATTTCTACCGGACAGGTGTTATTATTCCCATTTTTTGCAGATGACAGCACTGATGCTTGGTGACATTAAGTAACTTTTCAAGCACACATGCTTAGTAAGTAATGAAGCCGGAACTTAGAACTGTCTGTGTAACCCCAGTGCCCGCACTTTCATTGACTTAGCTACAGAACACTGGCTTTCCCCAGTACTCCATCCTTCTCTCTCCTTCTTGCTTTGCTGAGACCTTCTTTTCAGGTATTATTTTTAAGGCTATAAGCCACAGATTAGTCGCCTTTCCTAGTTCCAGGAGGAAATTCATATTAGGAAGCAAGTGCTGCTTTGTCAAGAAATAGGTATTGGGGCGCCTGGGTGGCTCAGTGGGTTAAAGCCTCTGCCTTCGACTCAGGTCATGATCCTAGGGTCCTGGGATCGAGCCCCACATCGGGCTCCCTGCCTAGCAGGGAGCGTGCTTCCTCCGCTCTCTGCCTGCCTCTCTGCCTGCTTGTGATCTCTGTCTGTCAAATAAATAAAATCTTTAAAAAAAAAAAAAGAAAGAAAGAAAGAAATAGGCATTATCCCTGCCTCCTTTCCCACTTCATTACAGACATTTTTTGTTTTTGTTTTTTATTTGAATAACTTCTATAGCACATCCTTCTTTAGTATTAAGGATCAATCACAAGGAAGCTAAGGTCAAAGTGATTCTCGGTCATGGTGGTCAGGCTTTATAGGTAGCAACTGTTATAACATTGTATTTTGATTCTTTGATAAGTTTAATCTGATGGGTATAGCATACTGTAGAATTACAGTTTCCTGTTTCCTCAAAATTAGATATTGGTTTATGTTTTTAATCAGTTTGTTATTAGGATTACCACTTTAAGAACACCTAAACATCAGTTTCTAATTTGAGTTAATCAGTGTTTTGTTGTCTAGGATTTGTTTGGTGTCAGCATGGTCGTCCCTTTACTGAGCCTTCATGTCAAGTCTCTTGGAGCAAGTCCAACAGTTGCTGGAATAGTAGGTAAGTAGTTAATATTGTACATTTCAGAGCACCGAATTTTCAATCATCTGGACTAAGAACCTAAAACCAAATCAGTCTTGATAGCTGAATATCATCCAAAGCTAAATTCAAAGTGGGCTAAAAGGAATTTTTAGAATACTTAGGAATGTTACCCTGGAGCGAATATAGTTCATCTTTACCTAGACTACCTGTGTTCAGAGAGGTGTTGAGGGTTAGCATCATTCCTTTGCCCTCACCACCAGTGACATCACAGTTCCTCCCTGAGCCTCTCCAAGGAGCTGGCTGTGTGTGTCAAAGGGTAGGTACAGACTCCTGCCTGCGGGAACCAGAGAAATGTAATCTACAGAAATCAGTTCACACAGCAAAGGGACTCAGGGTGAGCCTTGACCACTACCAGTGCATCTTAGGGGGTTGTAGGGTTTCTCTGCCTGTGCAGCATAGAACCTCCATCTGAAAGTCCCTGATTTACCAAAGAGACAGGGCATAGCAGGGCTTAGGACTATGCTAATTAACAAGGAATTGTTAAAAGACTAACAGCCCTTGACTATTCGCAAGCTGGATAAGCAGATGTTGGGAGACTGTGGTGGACACAGTATTTAGTAAGTCCTGCATGCCATGACTTGTATTTCCCTTGGAAAGTAGAATTATACCAGTCCCCACAGTGGCCCGAGGGTTTTTGTGAAGAGCAGAAGGGACATGTTATGTGATATAATGGAGGTAAAGGCACTCTGTAAAATTTTGTCAGCTCTTTATAAAACTAAAGCAGTTTGTAAAACCAGAATGTTAGAGGCATATAAGAGGATACAGAAACTTTTAGACTTAGTAGAATTTTTGTAGAATTTGGATTTCTATTCCCTGAGTACTCTCTATTCCTCTTCTCAGTCGGGGGTATGCATCCTTACAGAGCAGGAGAAGCCTCTCTCAGAGACCGTGGGCAGCCCTTGCTGTAGTCTCTCTCCTACTTCCTTCAGTTTTTGAGGTTTTTTTGTTTTTTGCTTTTGTTTTTTTTTAAAGATTAATTTATTTGAGAGGGAGGAGAGAAAGAGCACAAGCAGGGGGAGCAGCAGGCAGAGGGAGAAGCAAACTCCCCACTGAGCAGGGAGTCTGATGCGGGGCTCGATCCCAGGACCCTGAGATCATGACCTGAGCTGAAGGCAGACACTTAACCAACTGAGCCATGCAGGCGCCCCTGAAGGTCTTTTAATAAAAATTGTATTGCTTTACCCTTCCAACTGAAAAAAAAAAGGGGGGGTATATCTCCTTTTTAAAAATGGTCTTCTTTTCCCCTAATGTTTTCCTGTTAATATCTATGTAATTATTAACACATTGATCCATTTTCATGATGGGTCCAGCTGATTTTCTTGATGTTACTGATGTTTTTTGTAGGCTCCTCCTATGGCATTCTGCAGCTCTTTTCCAGCACACTGGTGGTAAGTTGTCTCCCATCCGGGCATCACATCTCGGTCACATTTGGGGCATCTCCATGGTGGTGGTGGTTAAAGGTGGGGGGTCAGAGGACTTTCTCTGTTCCTTGCTTTCCTCAGGGCTGCTGGAGTGATGTGGTTGGAAGACGGTGTTCCTTGCTGGTGTGCATTCTGTTCAGCGCCCTGGGTTATCTGATTCTTGGAGCATCCACCAATGTGTTCCTGTTTGCCCTGGCTAGAGTCCCTGTGGGTATGTTCCTGCCCTTGGGTGTGTTTTCATTCAAAATAAACCAATTGTCTGTAAATATATAAAGAGAGACAATCTTACCTGTCAGTGCCTTCTTTTTCTTTCTTTATTCCTTTTTTTTTTTTTTAAGATTTTATTTATTTATTTTAGAGAGAGTGAGTCTGTGTGAGCAGCAGGAAGAACAGAGGGAGAGGGAGATAATTTCCAGCACACTGTGCACTGAGCCACAGAGCCCCATGGAATCCCTGGATTCCAGGATCCTGGGATTGTGACCTGAGCTGAAACCAAGAGTTGGATGCTTAACCGACTGAGCCGCCCAGGCTCTCCTGTTGGTCCCTTCTTGGTTACAGCTTATGTCAAGAGAGAATAATGGCAAGAGCGATTATAACTGGAACCTCAGATGCTGCTGTTGATGGAGGACTTGGTATCAGTCAGGCTCTGCTCAGATGAGCACAGCCACAGAGCTCGACCACGACAGGGCCTGGAGCCTTCCCTGTCAGTATGAATCATTATACCACTGCACAGACCTGGCTCCTTCCCATCGCTCTCTCTACATTCAGTCAATAAGAATTTGTTAAATGTCTTTGGCCAGCACTGTGGTTATTATTCTTCCCCTTGGCCAACTTCTAGTTTTAAAATTGGGCTTCCTGACTTTCAGATGGAGATCTCCCACTGTAGCTTTCTGGCAGCCTCCTGTAAATCCAGCTGTTGGTTGGGGGAGATACTAGGATGACGATGGCGTGGCTCATGGGTTAGTTTCTGTTTCCAAACTGATCTTGAATGTTCCTGATATTTTCGAAATGGCTTTTATTTTGTCCATTCTTTGAGCTGCCGCTGTTGACTGCTATCCTAGTGTAGTGGGTAGGCAGGCCCTGTGGAAGCTCTTTGTTCTCTCTTTGCCTTTCTCAGTTGTTAGAACCCTGGAGTTTCAGTGTTTCTTTCTGCCCTGACTCAATAGAGTACTGATAGACTCATCTGCCCTGGTGGACAAGATTGCAGCCCTGGACCTCTGCCCCTAGTCAGTTAAGCTGCTCCTTTTCACCCAATGCCCCAAAGGAACAGAGCATAAAATAAGTCCTTTTAACATATGGTTGATGATCAGCTTATTTGGGATTTTCACACCATTTCTGTGACATACATACTTACTCTCCAAGTCTTTTGAGTTCACCCTCGAAAATTCATGCTTTGCCTTTCTGTTGACTCAAAAACCTGAAAATACTTACAAAGGTCTTCGCTTTAAATATGAGCTATCATCCTAACTCGCCCCCCCACCACACAAAATCCAACTGATGGCTGCTCTATGTGCATTCAGAGTCAAAGTTATTGTACATGCTTGGTTTGGGTTGTAGTGTGTAAATATAAACACTCCACCATTCAGCAGTAAGGCTGCTTGTAATTCTAAAGAAATACAGATTAATCGACCCTGTATACAATAGGTTGAAATTTATAGAGAAGATTAAAATGTTTTTATTTAATATGAAATGAGCCTGCTTTGAGTAGTGGTAGTTCCACTGACATATATCTTACTCCTGGCTAACAGGAGAGCTACACATAAAATTCTCTCCTGCTGTGGGAACTTCTACAGTGTTCGGTTGGCCCAGGAATATGAGGGAACCCTGGGGAGCCTTGCAAGGGTTATGCTGTACAATATCATGTAGGTTCAGGTCCTTGGATCTGAAGGTGAGCCTGACAGAGGTTGAAGTACCAGAGGTAGACACATGGTTTTCCCCTCTTCTCTCTATCACCTAGCCCAGCCTCTAGAAGGTAACAGAAGCTAGTATGGGTCACCTTCACCACAGTCCTCCTTCCCTGGGTATGTAAGGTGAACTCAACATTGGTATCATTTCAGAAATAATTACAGGATCCGTGCTAGGCCTTTTAGGAATCATCTTCCAGCCTGGTCCTTTCTCACATTTAAGCAAATAGATCTAGAGACAATCTATCTAATTCTAAGATAGATTTGTAAGTTTGCTTCCCATAGAGGCTGGTTATCAGGCAAATATCCGCTCTAATGTTTACACGCAGTTGGATATAGAACCCAGGATCAGGGTGCAAGCCGAGAGATGTACAGAGTGATGCTTCTTTCAAGGAAATCACTGGAAACCATTGTGTTGCATCATAGTTAGAAGCACGGCAGGCCGACCCGCCAGCAGCACTGACTGAGCTGCTGCCACGTATTGATCAGCATGGCGGGCAGCGCACGTTACCAGAACCCCTCAGTCTGTTTATTCAACATATGGGTATATGGGTGCAGGCAAGTCAAATACATCAGCAGAAGTATGAGGAATATAAAGCTGCTATATACACTTTAATCTCTTATTAAGTCATGTCCCACCTTTCAGTTTGTTTAGTCAACCAATTCATAAACCTCTTGCTAGGAGAAAATTAGTTGGTAGTGTTTAGATGACTATGTCGTCATATTTTTATATTCTTCCTCACTCCCTATCCTTCTTCCCTGCTCTCTTCCTCTCTAGCAGTTATCACCTGTACCCATGTATACACATACACATGCTCTGTGAAGAGAGGTACATTTTGGGGGTTTTTTGCTCTCTGATGCTTGCATTATTCTCAGGGTCAGGGTCAGGGTTAATGCTGAACATACAGTAGGCAACGAATGTTTACTCAGGAGTGAATGAATGAAGAATGATACATCTCTGCAGAGAAGCCACCACGAATTGCACTTGGCTAACAGAAAACTGGAGATACTGGGATGTCAGGGTGGATGGTGGGAAAGCAGGGGATGCAGGGCTTGACTACCAGGAATAAGGTAACCAACTAGGACTGTGGGGCTAGATCAGGAGTCCAGTCACAGTGGGATGAAAGTACAAACCTTAGAGGTTCAAAGAGAATGGAGACCAGAACTCCGTCTGTGATAGAGATGAGATGCAAGATCACATCCAAGATTCTTTTGGTCTGAAAAATGTTACAGAGCATGTTTCTTATCCCCTTGCAGGTATTTTTAAACATACCCTCTCCATTTCAAGGGCTCTGCTTTCTGATGTGGTTGCAGAGAAAGAACGGCCACTAGTAATTGGACAATTCAATGCGGCATCTAGTGTGGGCTTCATCTTGGGCCCCATGGTTGGTGGATATCTTACGGAGCTAGAAGGTGGATTTTATCTGACAGCCTTCATCTGTTTCTCTGTCTTCATCCTCAATGCTGGTAAGTTGACGTTTCATCCTAAGAAGGCTGTTTGGTTTATGCATTCATACTGACCCATCTACCTGCTTTACTTTTATCTCCTTACACTTTGTTGTTCTTAAAACAGGCAGACTTTTTGTTGTTGTTACACTGCTATGTTAGTTTCAGGTGTGCAGTTTAGTGGGTCAGCAATTCTGTACATCACTCAGGGCTCATCTTGATACGTGTACTCTTAATCCCCTTCACATTCGAATAGACGGACTTATTTTTCAAAGTTGGACACTCGTCCCCTGCTGCAGACCACCTGCCCATGTCTTCCCATCATGCTTAAAGCATGTATGTGTCTCACATAGCATGTGGATGGGCAAGCCCTGCCCCCCCACCCTTCCATGTGCTCCAGCCACACCGGCTTCCTGGTCAGCCTCACACACCTCAGGCTCATTCCCACAGGAGGGCACTGCAATTTGCTCTTTCCCCCACCTACAACATTCTTCCCACATACCTTTACTGGTCTTTCTTTCTTTTTTTAATTTTTTTAAAATTTTATTTATTTATTTGACAGAGAGAGAGAGATCACAAGTAGGCAGAGAGGCAGGCAGAGAGAGAAGGGGAAGCAGGCTTCCCACTGGGCAGAGAGCCCGATGTGAGGCTCGATCCCAAGACTTTGAGATTATGACCTGAGCTGAAGGCAGAGGCTTAACCCAGTGAGCCACCCTACTGGGTCTTTCTTATCACTCAAGTGTCAAATATTTGCTTCAAGGCTCCAGGTTGCATGATGGATTCCATGTTGAGCTAGGATATCACATTCAGGAAACAGAGCTCAGGAGTTCAATGTCAGTTGTCATAGGAATACTTTATGATCTCCTGCCAGAAGTTTAACCTGTAACCTCTGCTGGGAGGTGAGGTCTGACGGATTAGTGCAAATCTAGATAAAATACCTGAAGCCCATGACTGGCTGGTGTGGCCAGGTACCTTCCCCCATGAAGGAATGTGATGAATGTGATAGCTCTCAAAGTCAGAAGTCAGTGTATAAACGAAGACCGTGATTATGGGTTCTGTTTTGGATTCTCCAGCGATGATGCTGTTTAATATCATGCCCTCACCTAAGCCTGTGAATGGATCTGAGTCAGTTGGGGATAGTTCAGCCACAAGTGTTCTCAACCGCAATGGCTAAAAATAGTAATAGGGATTTCTTGTGCATTCTTAAGAAATTTAGAGGTCAGCAGGCCGAGCTGATGCAGAGAATAGCAGGGGAGAGCGATAGGGGCAGGCCAACGGACAATGTCTCACACCGGGCTTTGCCTTCCAGCGCAGTGAGCAGTGTACTGCGTTTTTTCCCCTCAGTGACTTCGGCTGTTTTCCTAAACCTCTTTTACCCCTTCAGCTTCTCATATCCTCATTCTGATAGGCCACTTTGCCTGAGAAGGGCCTCTTTTATGTCTTTTGTGGCATGATTTCTGATTTCATGATTAAGAACTTAGACTCTGGAGTTTGACAAACTTGGATTCAGATTCCCGCTGTGCCACTTTTTAGTGTGGGCCTTGAGCGAGTTGCCTCAGTTTACTCATCCATAAAATGGGATAACAGCACTCCCAGTCTTACTAGGGTGAGCCCTGGAGGTCTTGTATGCGTTCACCCCACTGCGTCAAGAATACTGCATGCTCAGTAAATATCAGTTGCTGTCATCGTTATCATTTTTATTATTTTAATTATACTCTTTTGTCTCAGTCCACTGGCGATAGCCCTTTCATATTTTTATCAAGATTGTGTAAAACGTCTAAGGGCCCTTTTAAAGATAAGAAGTGGTAGAAAGGCCAGGCCTGCATTCTCATGTGGTTAAGTTTTCTGTCATAAATTAGTCCCTGGCGAGTAGTCCCCCTAGACTGTGGAGAAACCACATACACAGATGTGGTTGCTGAAAACAGCATGAAGCGGTCTGAACGGCCATGGTCCAGTTGAATTTAAGTGTGGAAGGACTGAAAACTCCACAGGATGAGTTTGGAAAAAATGTCCTAGAATGGCAAGCTGGAATTCAGTTTCAAGAAATTTGGGGGCATGGGTTGGCAGTAGGTCCTTCTACTTGGAGGGCATGGGATACATAAAACGACCGAGGCAGGAATGCACCAGTCATAAGGGTGGAATTAGGATTATCTGAGTAGGAATTGGGCTGCTCTGTAAGGTCATACATCATGGTCTGTGAGAATGGTACCCCCAAAGATTTTGAGGTGTGACTTGCAAAAGCACATGGTGGGCCCTGACAGGGGACAGAACCAAGCAGGTACTTCCTGACAGGTCACTGGTGTCAAGCTGCCCCTCTTCCCACAAGCCGAGGCCGGCTGCCTCTGCTTACAGAGTGAGCTTCCCCCAACACAGTACTCACCCTGTAATCCAGTTGCTGTGTTTTACTTGTCCAAACCCCCTTTTAGACTTAAATTCCTTGAGGACAGGGATGTTATAGGCCTTGTCTTGTTAATATATTCCTACTGTTTATTATAGGCCTTAGCATTTAGGAAGCATAACTATTCAGAATGTGATGAAGTGTGGGTGGGGAATGGATGGGAGGGTGGATGGATGGGGAGGCAAGATGGTGGAAAGGCACACAGTTAGAAAGGTAGTGAATTTAAATATACAGCATGAGAATTTTGATACCCCATGATACAGGAAACCATCATGGGCTCTTGAGCCGGCGAAAAAAGTGAACATTTTGTAGGTATAGAATTTTTCTAAGGTGAAGAGTGGAATTCTACTATCAAAATGGAGTAGAAGTAACTGTGGGCATGGTTAAAAACTGGATTCAAAGACAGAGGTTAGTAAATGAACTAATACAAAACTACAGAATAGAAATCTCGTGCACATACGTGCTCCTCCCCCCGGGATTGGGGGCACCCTGAGAGTCCGGGCGTGCAGCCGACAGATCCCATGCCGTCCTACCAGGTCTGGTTTGGCTGTTTCCCTGGTGCGAAGCGAAACTCTCCAGTGCAGAGAAAGGCCAGCCAGCGAGAAGGAACTCTGCACCCTGGGGGAGAAGAGATGGTCACGGGCAGGAAACCGCCACCCCTCCCCGGAGCACAGTCCGCACCAGACCTGCCAGGCCGCCCTGGCTGGAGTTCGCATCCACACTGCGCGACATGAAGAGCCTGATATTTTCCGAGATGTGGGACATCTTCGCCGTGCGCTTGCTGATGGCAGTAGCGGTCATGCTCTACTACAGTAACTTCGTGCTGGCGCTGGAGGAGCGCTTCGGGGTGCGGCCGCGGGTGGCCGGCTACCTCATCAGCTATGGCAGCGCGCTGGGCGCCCTGGCCGGCCTGGCGCTGGGGCCCCTGCTGCGGCTATACCGGCACGACGGCCACGCCCTCCTGCTGCACTCGAACGCGCTCACCTGCCTGCTGCTGCTGCTGCACGCCTCCGCCCGCTCCGTGCCTGTGGCCGTGCTCTGCTCCTCGCTGCTGGCCGTGTCCACCGCCGTGGGCAGGACCTGCATCACCGACCTGCAGCTGGCCGCGGGCGGGGCGCAGGCCAGCGGCACGGTCATCGGCGTGGGGCAGTCCGTGACGGCCGTGGGCCGGATCATCGCCCCACTCCTCTCCGGGCTGGTGCAGGAGGTGAGCCCGTGCGGACCCCCCAGCCTGGGGGCTGTCCTGGCCCTCGTGGCGATTTTCCTAATGTCACTCAACAGAGCCCGCTATGGTGGTGCGAGTGACAAATTAAAACGTGAGTAGAGTAGAACTGGACAGAAGAAACCAACTCTGAGGCCATGAGGAAGGGACAGCGGCCAGGAAGGGCGGTTTCCTAGCAGGTGTGCTTCTTTGGGAGACTCCCAGGTCCAGCCTGCGGGGTGATCAGAAGTCAGAGCCTTGTCAAAGGGGAAAGTATTAAACCTTATGTAGAAGTCTCCTCTTCAAACCCTGCTGGTGGGGTTCAGATTTTCCAGGGGGAAACACTACCACCTTCAGGACGGGAAGGTGGTGGTGAGATAACAGAAGGTGATAGGCCCCCCGCTAAGTAAAAACAGGGTAACCCATTAATAAAGTGATCTGCTGGGACACAGGCTTCGTGTCACACTGCATAAACCAAGGGTTTTTTGTGCTATCAGAAGCCTAGAGATTGAATAAGCCACTTTTTTGAAATTAGCCTGTACCTTTCTCAAGTCCTAACAAGGTTCTACCTGGGAAGCTGGGGAAAGATCACACGGCTGCCTCAGCCCCCAGACACTGGTTCTGGGGGCCCAGGGGAGGCCCAGAAACCTATATTTAATAAGCAACACTTGCACTTCCTCATGGAGGTAGAAAAAGGATCATTCAGAGACATACAGGTTTGGATTCAAGTCAAAGCCAGAGACTTGATTGTGTTTATTGATAGCTAACTCAGTTTGAAGTATTAAGATTATGTGATCCCGAAACGCTACCTTCTCCCCAGCTCTTGGCAGTCACGCTCCATAATAGGAGAAGCAGGTTCATGGAGCCTGTCCCCTATGTCTATTGCTTCAGAGGCCCTGTGCTCTGCAGAGAGCTGAGGTTGTCAGTGTGGCTAGTTCTCCCTAGATATCAGGCATGAACTGCTCCCAGAAGCCAGGGCTCCATTGGGCTGCATGGGTTGGATGATGGTAGAACACAGTGGAGAAGACAAAGTACAGGAATCCCTTTAAGAGGAACATCTCGTGCAGGTAAGAGAGTCAGTTGCCATGCCTCATGAGACAGACTTAACTACAGTGTCTTATGTTGAAAGTCATTTCTTTTCTCTCACTTTAATATCATACCTGAGAACAAAAGAGCTACACACTGATCTACAGGGAAATGCCTTTTCCTAGGCCTAGGTTTAATGGTCATTCCAAAAGTAGCGTGCCAGGGTCCAACTGGGAGGCTCAGAGTGAGGGTTAGCACAAAAACACAGGGAAGCATTTGTGTGATTCTTGCTACTTGGATGATGTCACCTATTAATAATAATTATATTGGAGCCCCCTCTCTTTTCCTCATGCAAACTACCGAAGTTCACATTCCTCTCATTCTTTTTCATTGGTCCACTGGAAAATTACTCCTGTTTTCAACCAACACACATATAATTGTAAATGTATTGTATGTAAAGCAGGAAAAAAAAAAAAGTTTCTCTAGTTTTAGAAGTTGTGTATGGGTTAAACCCAAATGTTTAAGATAATTGGATGTTTGAAGATTGTCCTTTCTCCTATCTAGCTACAAGGAAAATACTAACTTTTTATGAAGTGTTGTGATTGTGTTAAGAAGTGTTGTGATTGTGAAGCGCTAAGTGCTTTTGAGGAAAGCAAAATATAATACAAAATGGTGTGGCCCTTAAGGAGCACACCAAATCGGCATAGAGCTTAGACTCAAAGGACAAGAAGTAATCAAGGGTTTATGCAATGAAGTCGAATTTCTCTGAAGATTATCTTTTCTGTGCACTCAGAAACAGGCAAGTTTCTTAGACATTCTTTAATGTAGTCATTATTAAATTTTTGAAATCCTAGCACTTTATTTTTGAGGTTAAATAATGCCTATAAATTTATTAAGGCTTTACAGTTACCAGATAAATGGGAATGAAAACCAGGGTTGATCTTCATATAGAGAGAGGAGAAACATTTTTGCTCTTGTCCATACTCATGTGGGGTTTTTTTAGATAAATATTATGCAGGCATACCTCATTCCATTGCATTTCATTTTATTGTGCATTGCAGATACTCATTATTTTTTTTTTTAACCAGTTGAAGGCTTGTGGCAACCATGTGTTGAAAAGTTTATTGGCACCATTTTTCCACCAGCATTTGCTCACTCTGCGTCTGTGTCACATTTTGGTAATTCTCACAATATTTCAAACTTTTTCATTATATTTGCTATGGTGATGTGTGATCAGTGATCTTTGATGTTACTGTTATAATTGTTTTGGGGTGCCATGAACCACACCCTTATAAGGGGGTGAATTTAATCCATAAGCGTATGTGTTCCAAGAGCCCCACCAACTGGCTGGTCACCCACCTCTTGCCCTCGCCTTGGCCCTCTCTCTATTTCTTGAAATGCAAAAATATTGAGGTCAGGCCAGTTAACAACCCTACAGTGGCCTCTTAAGTGTTCAAGTGAAAGGAAATGTCAGCCGATGTGGCAAACTTCCTTGTTGTCTTATTTTTAAAAATTGCCACAGCCACCCTAGCCTTCACCAACCACCACCCTGCTCAACCCTGAGAAAAGACCCTCCACCAGCAAAAAGATTGCCAGTTGCTGAAAGCTCAGATGGTGGTTGGCATTTTTTAGCAATAAAGTCTTTTTAATTAAGGTATGTACATTGTTTTTTAGACATAATGCTACTGTAAATTTAATAGACTATAGTATAGTATAAACATAATTTTTAATGTACACTAGGAAGCCAGAAAATTCATTTGACTCACTTCATTGCAATATTTAACTTTATCGCGGTGGTCGGGAACCAGGCCACAGTATCTCTGATGTATGCCTATACCTCTTCTTAAAATGTCTGATGTGTGGATATTCCGAAGTGTGTTCCAGAACCAGCAGCGTCCACATTCCCCTGGAGCTTGTTAAACATGCGCTCACACCCCGGCACGGACCTGCTGGGAACCATTCTCAACAAAATCCCCAGCTGCTCTGTGTGCACAGTACACTTTGATAACCACTGGTCCGTAGACAGTTTTTGTATAATTTATGGACTATGATCTCAGGGAAATTAAATCTGCTCCACTAAAGTTTGCATTGTTTTGTTTTTGAGTCCCTGAGCAACTTCCATAATAATGTCCAAAGTATTTAGGTTGAGCCACATGAAATTGCTACTTTTCTAGGTCAAAATTACCTGCAGTTTCACATAGTTCAACTTGATAATATATGGAATCTTATTTTAGGGGCATTGAACTTGCCTCAGAAGATTATAAAGGATATTGCATCCTTTCAGCATTATACCAGCCCCAACTGCTAAGTTTTGTGAATGAGCCTCAGGGTTTTGGGTTCTAGAAGACTTTGGAGGGATAGTATACCTCTGCCTTCATGTCCAGAGAGGTGAGCAGAAATCAGAAAGGGAGTGGGGCATGTTTGGCCAGGGCAGTAACATGGGCAAGGCTCTAAAGCCCAAGTGTGTGGGTCAAAAGTTATGCCTGCAGCAAACAGAAGGGGCAAGAATCAGTGGTTCTGGCTTCATAGTAGAGTCACCTGATGCCCAGAGCCTGCCCTAGACCTCTAGAACCAGACTCCAGAGTGCCCCAGAGGTGAGAGTCCCTGAGTTAGATCGTGAAGGAATTCATGGACCATGCTCAGGAGTGAGCTTTTATTCCCACAGCTGAGGGGGAGCCACTGAAGAATTCATGCTGGTGAATGCTCCGTGCACTTGATGTTAAAGATCCCTCGAGGGCAGTCATCCAAGGGGAATGGGAGGGAGAAGTCACAGGCACTGAGGGCATCAGGTAGGGCACGAAATCTGAAAGGCCTGGGGACCGTCAGCTTGTGACCTCCGGGGAGGCACTGGGTGGCAGAGCTTAGATAAGGTTAGCTAGTAATGAGTATTGAGACATTCTGCCCCGTCCTCCGTTAGCTGTAAGAGAACATGTGTGGGCAATTATGAGAGATTGTTCTCTGCATGTCCTGAATATTAGGAGACATGTTTTCTGTGGGACACTTTTATAAGAAGTTTAGACACCTGTGGGGGAGCCCCGGGGGAGTCAATCCGCTTAGGGGAAATTTCCGGCTTTGGGGCACCTGCTAGAAGGGATAGCTTTTTATTTGGAATGTATAGTAAAAGCCAGCATGGTGATTTCCCATGTCCTATTCCCTCTGGAAACCTTAGCCTTCCAGAAATCTCTGAAATAAGATTCCCACAGATCTAGCCAGGATGATGTATAACGTAGCTCTTCTCAGAACAGGGTGATGGACTGAGAAAAATTGTTTTTCTGTCCTAAAATTGTATTTTCCCAAAGAACTTTGCCAGTTATGTAGTAATAATTTTCTTTAATAATACAATCCCTTTAAAATTATAACAAAGTGTTATCATTTATTCTGAGTGTAATTTTTAGGAGCTGTTGCTGCATCCTGACTGTATATGTAAAGTCAGGGTCCAGAAGCTGGAAATGTTAACCTCCAGTTACGCTAAAACGCGTCCTAATGGTAAGAACAACAAGCATTTGGCTTTTCAAACCATATGCTAATACCAAATGTATACATAATCTTAAATTTATTGCACATCTTTGGCAAGCAAATTGTTTTAAGATGACATCTCATCAGTAGGATTTATTTTTACTTAATCAGATACACAAATACTAACTTATTTTAACACAATATTTTACGGTAGATTTCTCATTTCTCCCAAACAGATCACCTAAACTCACCACTTCACAGACAGCTGTGTACGAACACAATATAGACAATTTCTGTTTTCCTGATTCAGTACATTGTAAGAGATAATGCTGATTTTAATTTGGAATCGGATACTCTCAAACAGCTTGCACTGTTCCTCAAGGGGAAAAGATAATTATAAACATTAAGGAAGAAGGTGTTAATTATTACCCATAATTACATAGCATAAACTATAGCATAAGAGGGGACTAAGGACCTTGTTTGAATAAAAAAAATTGTATTTTGATCAGCCTTGTTGTAAACTATACTACATCCTGATAAATAAAAATCCGCTTTTTTTTTTTTCCAAAGCATACACTGTGGAGGGAAAAATAGTTAAAATACCTATGAATAGTTGCAATTTACAACATTGAATAGGAGATGACCTTTCTTTAGGCTTATCAAAGAATCTCTTCTATTTTGAATCACTGGGACTCAGGTGCTTACCCAGACTGAGAATTTTTTTTTTTTTTTTTCGTGGGATACCTTACCCCTAAACCTATCCTGAGTTTGCCTAATGAAACTGAAACCACATGAACTCTCCGGAATGAACCTAATGTAATAAACACGTTTGCTGCTGACTATGGGGCCTGGCCCTCGGATCTGAGTGCACATGAATGGGTACATGACCCGGGCTTGCCCTGGTCTGTGCTGTGGGCTGGGCTGGAACATAGGCCCTGGCATCATAAGCCAACTTCTGACAGTGCCAGGCGGTCATGACATGGAGAAGAGCGAACGTTTTCTCCTGGTCACCTTCAGAGCACCTTCACTGTGCCATCTTCTAGGAATGAACAAAACAAGAAAGTATGTCAAGTTGTAACGCTTTCAAACTCATTCTCCAGCTAAAGGTAAGGACTTGAACTGGATGCCCGACAGGGGTACATAATTATGGTAGCAAATACAGTAAACGGTGTTGAGTAGGTGCCAAAAACTGTATGTTAGTGAAAACCTAAAAATTTGATGTGTTGGTACAGAACCCTGCATACTCTTGTAAATTTTACCATAAATTTGGTAAGACAGTTGATGGCATCCACCTAATTTGTTTTGCTTGAGTTGGCTTGGGAAGGCAGCATGAATGTTCCAAGGCATGCATTATTGTTGAACCCTTTACAAGGGTCTGTTTACATAGAGAAAATTAATGGGCCAGTTATAATCATCATTTGAGTTTCTTTAACACAGTTAACAATGTTATCCCTGTTTTGAGATATGATGTATATTTGAAGCTAAAGCAACTGATATTTGTAATACTCTTAAATTCTTACTTTCACAAATTCCAGGTATCATGACTCCATTTTAGCACACATGAAAATGGTTTTGATATATAAATGCAAAAATCGAAATTGGGGTGCTGTCCTTATTTCTCGTGATGCATTATTTTATCCATAGTGATTAAATATCTTTATTCCATTAAATGTTTCCACTCCATACTGATTCAACACTTAGATTTTTGTACATTTCACAGAAACCAAGAGAAATTCTTTGTTGGTACACATACATAAAATTTCTGTTTGGCAAGCATAATTACCAAATGCTGGATGCAGAGAGCCCTCATTTAAATTGCAAATTTTTTTACCACGTGTAGTGATGACATAACAGGACCCAGTGAAATTCAAAAAGAGGGAGAAGAAAAACATTTGCATATTTAATTCAGGGTGTTTTGTTGGCATTCTGTCTACTGGACAGGGCATTTCCATACTGCACAACACAAGGATAACAGATCCCCATGAAACATCTGTAACATGAAACCCCTGAAGTCGGTTCTCAGCCATTCAAAATCATCAATACGCTATGCAGATCAAAAATTTGATAATCCATTGACAGCAGATATATTAACTCTAGACAAAGAAACACCTATTTCTCTGACGAGACAGGTAAGAGAACTGACCGGTATTTCTTGACTATTTTTAGAGGTAGTAAAATAGAATTTTCTTTGAAAAAATTGTAGGAAGTTAGAAGACAGAAGGGATCAAAAAACTATGTACCATTGCAACATTAAAGAAGACGTTCAAAACTAACCATGTGGGTGCTTCGGCCGCACATCTGCAGGGGGTGACCACGTTTGAGGGGGTCAGCCACATGTAGAGTGAATGACATTGGAAAAAATCTAAAGGAAGGTGTCTTTTCTCTTGAACAAAGTGCTGTGGTCATAGCCAGGCAGCACTTACCCCGATGAGGGTTCTCTCTGCCTTACAAGCAGATTCAAGAAAGGGCCTGGTTAAGACGTTGGATATAAAGTACCAGCAAGCTACACATTTTGCTCTGAAAGTTATACACACACACACACACACACACACACACACACACACACACACACACACTCTCTCTCTCTCTCTCTCTCTCTCTCTCTCTCTCTCTCAGATCATCCGACAGTTGAGTCCTGAGCGTTCCTCGTTCATCTTAACAAAGGGAATCAACATAGAATGTTCAGGCTTGGGCAGATCATGCCAACACCTACTTCCACCAAAGAAATCTTTAATCAGTCTTTGGAGAGGAAAGTAAGTGTGAACTTCAAACTAACAATATTACAGTTCTTACATTTGTTTATAAAATGCCAGTTTTAACATAAACATGATTTGGACAGTACGACAAATGGAAAACATACTGAGACATGTAATAAATAACTTCTCTATGCTCTTTATATAAATAAACACTCCCCTCCCCCACTACAAAGCTTAGTAAACGCCAAAGGGAATTTCGTCCCAGATATTCTGGGACCTTGTACACAAAATGCACATTTTTTTAAACTTTTGAACTTTGGAGCCAATTTCTAGTTGTTCACTAACTGTCCTGTTCCCAACAGTCAGCCCGTAGCATTACAGGTAAAGAAATAAGCCTAGACTTTGCATTTATAGGTAGTTCAAGTCAGATTTGTTACAACAAATACCAAAGACCCATCAAAATTGTATAGTCACACTGGAACTTTGGTTGGATCATGTATTACTTGAATCAGGGGAGTCATTTACAAAGGGTTGGGGATTTTCTGTAGGACAGGAAATTTGGACTTTTGATATTTAAAGGGTTTCATATTTTCTCCTATAATGTCTAGACTTAATAATTTTATTTGAAAAAAAAGTATAGAGAAAAAGCAAAATGAAGTCAAATTTTTCATTGCTTTTGTCATCTAACAAATATGAAAATTAAACTGATAATAAGATGACATACGTGCTCCTTTTTTTTTTTTTAGTTCATACAGTGTCAACCAAATTCTTTATGACTTTTAATCAGTGCAAGCTGAATTTGGTCTACCTGCTTAACAAGAAGAAATTCAATAAAACTTCCATGTTTTCTCCTTTGGTTCCAGAAAATTATAGTATCTATTATAATATTATAATATTTATTATTCTAGGGTACCAGAAAAAAATCAGGAAATGTATTTTTAAGGTCAATTTCCACTTTAAACTTTCTTTTCATTAAGTTATAAAAATTTACTCTCGGCATTCTCAAAAATATATATCTTCTCTTGATGAATCACATTCCTATAATAAAATTCTAAGTTAAAAGTCAGTTTTAATTTCTTTTCAGGAGGAAATAGATAAAATATTATATATATTTATTTATATAAATATTTTCATTTAAAATTAAGATACTTGGCACAGAGTCCTAAGCTTACAGTTTTCAAATGGTGTCTGTCCTGCCTTCACTGATCAACATGGAAGAGTTTGGGAAGGAAATTGTGCTCTTCATACACTTGTACCTTGTGCGTTTATCTTTCCCTCTGCCTCACGCCCAACGTAGCAGTATCCCAAGACTGTGGAAGATAAGAGAAAGGGTAGATTTATTTCTCCACATTGGTGGGGTTAAAGGGAGAGGATAGGACAAACAGCCCTGGGGATTTCTGGGTATAGTCAAATTCATTAATGTTTTCCCACTAACAATACTGTGGTCGTTTGTATCCTTGGTTGCATCTCCAATGCACAACGAGGGGACTGTATGCATGGCCTCACTTGTATTTAAACCCAGACATTTAGAGTCTTGTTCCAGTCCAGTTTTTTTGTTTTTTTAAGATTAAATTTATTTTTTTGACACACAGAGAAACAGCAAGAGAGGGAACAGAAGCAGGGGGAGAGGGAGAGGAAGAAGCAGGCTTCCTGCCAAGCAGGGAGCCCGATGTGGGGCTCGATCCCAGGACCCTGAGATCATGACATGAGCTGAAGGAAAACGCTTAATGACTGAGCCACCCAGGCGTCCCTCCAGTTCAGTTTTAAAGAGGATTTTTTCGGGGAGGGAAAAAAAGGCCAATAAAATCTATAGTTTAAGATGGAAATTCAAATATTAATCTTTAATGATTATATTCCACTTCTTGTCTTTCTGCTGTACTTCTAAAAAGTACTCAGATGAGTAGCATCCATTTTTATATAAAGAATTTGAGTCACTACTTTATTGAGGGGCAAAAAGATAAATTATAGAGTAGTGCAAAAAAGAAAAAAAATACAACTCCTATAGTCTCCAAAGTGCTTCCTGAATAAATTTCAAAACCCGAACTCTCACCAATTTGTTAAACATCGGAATACTGTCTATATAAAATGACTGCTTGGAGCCTCTGATCTGTTTTCAAAGTTCTAGAATGTTCTACAGGAAAATTCTAT